GATCGTCGGTTCGAATCCTACTGAAAGAAGTCTGATGAGGAAATGTGGTGATTTCCGAAATAGCTATCACTTCTACCATTTTTTATTGTTGTTGCTTTTCCACAATACATTTTTCATTTAAAAAAAATGGCCTCGAGCTCATTATAAAATTGTTGAATATAATTGTTAAATGGCCAAAAAAATAACAAAAAACAAATAACTTAAGGACGAGCACACCTAAAAGTTAAGCATTCTAAAAATAGAATTATTAGCACAAACCAACAAAACCAACAACCACATGATCAAGTGAATTGCAGCGGAATAGCTGCGCTTGATTGTGTTGGCATAACAAAAATGAAAAATAGTGGAAATAAGCAAACGATAATTTACAAGGCGTCTTAGCGCGGTGCATGGGCAACTGGCTGAGTCAGTGGGATCGTCGGCTCGAATCCTACTGAAAGAAGTCTGATGAGGAAATGTGGTGATTTCCGAAATAGCTATCACTTCTACCATTTTTTCAGAATTGTTGTTGCTTTTCCACAATACATTTTTCATTTAAAAAAAATGGCCTCGAGCTCATTATAAAATTGTTGAATATAATTGTTAAATGGCCAGAAAAAATAACAAAAAACATAGCATTATTATTTAATATGGATTGCTAGGATTTTTAGGATGGTGTGGGTGCTGCTTAGGCGCAACACGGAGGGGACGTGGGTATATTACAGGTGACATGACGATTTAACAGGTGACAAACGTTTGACTGACGGACTATGTCAGGTAAAGGGAGTTTCGCATGATGGACTGGGAGCCCCGGCGGAACTCAAGGCTAAACGCCGTCGGCACTTATAAGGGGTGGGTTGGCTCCAACTGACCCGGACAGACTTCCATTTCTTTCTTTTTCTCCTTCGTTTTACATTGGCACGACAGAAAATTTTTGTTTGTTGTAGCTGAAGGTAGAGAAGTGGCAAACAACTCCCCCATTTGGCCGTCGAGCTAACCTGGGCCAACAAGCATGCCAACCTGCCACTTACCTCTGCCCGAACAGCTAGCTACACAACAACCTTGATGTGCAGAAACGAGTGTAACCATTTTCGATAGATTCCAAATATTGACAATGCCTCTCTAGAACCTTTGTGCAGCCATTCCAAGTCGCTAGTGCCTTCAAATCCATCGACTCCTTCCATTTGCGATTTGTCTCTTCGTCAGCCTTCTGCAGGACCAGGTAGATCAACATCGCCTGCGAGATTTGGCTGTCAGTTCCCAGTGACTGTAGTGAGCCGTAGATCGCATACGCCTTCTCGATTAGACTCTTCAGTGCCGCACCGCTGGGCTTGGAGACTGACGACAGTTCAAAAAGTGACGAAATACTTTCTAAAAATATAAGTGTTGGGTTATCATACCGACCTCGCAGCCTGTCCAATGCCTTGGGGTAGTTTTCATTAGTGACCTGAAATGAATCAATGGTTTCTAGAGCAGGACCTTGAAGACAATTACGCAGGTGATTAAATTTCTCAATGTTTGACAAATTGAATTCACGGTTGATTATTTGTGTAAATGACGTTATAAAATTGCGATACTCGGAATACTTGCCATTGAATGATGGAAGTTTGAGCTGAGGGAGTTTAGAGCTAGATGGCATGACGCAAGTGGTGTCTGATAGCGTGAAATTGGGATTTTCAGCTAGCTGCGACTGAATGGCAAGTTTCGCTGTTATGTACAACTCCTCCAAGTCAGCACGACCACCATCTTCACAGTCTATCTTCTCGACTTCCCTTTGTGTTGATAGAACTTGCTTGAAGTACGGCTCCAGGATACCCAAGCGGCACCGATACTCCGGTACTGAAAGCGACTTACCACCTGGTCGCAGGCTAGAATCCACAATGTTCCTTATGCGCGTAATATTCTTTTTGATATTAGCGCGTTGTTGTTTCAACTCCTCGAGAGTCATCGCAAATAAAAAAGGCTTATAAATTTAGCTAAAGGTATATTGAATACCTTTCCGAAAGGTAGTATAGCGTAACTAGTAACGGGTTTACCAAAATTTAAACGGTATTTGATAAAGCGTTATGCAACAGCGGCAAAACGAATATGCGGCA